TAAAACTGCGTGGCATGATATGGCATCCACAGCAGTGGGGTCTACAAAATTGTGGGACATTTCCTGCTTCTCTGAAAATAAAAAATAGCAATGTTATAATTATAATAGATGGTGTTAAATGTAATATAATATGATATTAAATAAATATATATATATATAATACCATATAGTATGTAAAACTTATGTGTAAATAAATCCATGCTCTCTCTCTATATATATAGGAACGTTGTTTCACGGTTCAAACTGCATCAAACTTTAAAACAAGGACTATTGGATGGGGAGGAGGGCCTTCAATATTAGGGGGCCACCCTCATTTAATTGTTAGTGTAGTGCGGTCTAGTACAATCCGGGCTACACTACACTTTTTCGTGTATATATATATATAAATCATAAATTGCTTGATGAGGGTGTTCAAAAGACTATTGTAATAGACTAAGTTCGTCTCCCATTCAAAAAACCCAAATTTTATAAATAGTGAAGTTAAGGAAATAATATACAGTATTGGTTGTTATTAAACATAAATTGAATAGTTTTTTTCAAATTTGACTTGAAAATTTGATTGTCATGATCTTTGATGATCCTTGGTAACACTATAATCTTACACACTAATAATGAAGATTAAGGTATGTAATTTGTTTATTTTGTTATATATTGATATCTTAAATTTCATGTATGTTATTAATTTCTAACATAATTATCAAAAGATTAACTACTTTCTGTTAATTGATTGACTAATAAGAGAAATATTGAAACTTTGAAAGACAAGTAATGCACTGCTGTTGAAGAATTTTCAAAATATTTCCAGGATTTGGGTTTGAACCACAAAAAATTGATTCAAAGCAATTGCACAAAATGCATTTGAGAAAGTGTAACTTTGGTTCGAATCATAATTATATGATTCGAATCATTTACGTAAAATCAAAATCCGAAAAGTTACGATTTTGGTTCGAATCACATTTTTCAAATTCGAACCATTTACGTCAGAATAAAAAATAAAATTCAGATAAGTTTCTGAAGAGAGTGGATAACTTTGGAAGGCAAGGAAACATGCCATTTGGAGTTCAAATCAAAACCAAATGACTTTTGGAAAAGTTTCCAATGGATAAATTTCATGATAAGTCAGTTATTATCCGTTAATAAACTGATAATAACTGAAAAGGAGCACTGTTCACAACAGACATCTTGCCCCTATAAATATGAAGTTATCTCTTCTTCTTCTTCGTCTCTTGAACCCAGAAACAAATCCCTACTATTAACTAAATAAAACAGCCCCTTTTTGCACTTTGATTGCTGCAGAAATCCTTGTACAAAAACTATTGTTTTGTCGCTTTCTAAAGGACAGTTCAGTGGTTGATCTTGCTAGTGCAAAAGCAAGATCAACAAGGCACTTCATTGTATCTTACGGGCATTTCGAGTTACTCCTTTTGCATACCAGATTTGGTGGGGGCGAAATTAGCCTAAAGGAAAGTGGCATTTGCAATACGCCTTGAAGCCATTTGCAAATTTTCTACCTTATTTATTCAACAATCTTTAGGCTAATTTTTCTGTTCTGCAATTATGGCTGCAACTTTGCGTGAGATGGCTACTAATTTCCAGAAGTTAGATCGCTCTGATGGGGGCAACTTTATTCGATGGCAATGCAAGATGCACATCCTTCTCACAACTCTCAACATCATTTATGTTCTCACTGATGCTCAACTAGAGGAAAATGAGAATGAAACTTTGCAAGATACAAGGAAAAGGAAAAAGTGGGAGAATGATGATTATGTCTGCAGGGGCTGCATCTTAAATGGTATGTCTGATTCCCTTTTTGATACTTATGTTCATGAGTCTACTGCAAAAGAATTGTGGGATAAGTTAGAAGCAAGATATATGAATGAAGATGCAACAAGTAAGAAGTTTCTGGTGACCAGATGGAATAATTATAAAATGATTGATAACAAATCAGTCGTGGAACAATTTAGAGAAATTGAAAAGTTGCTGAATAGTTTCAAGCAATATGATATGAAGATGGATGAATCCATAGTTGTGTCTTCAATAATTGATAAACTTCCTCATGCATGGAAAGATTTCAATAGAACATTAAAACACAAAAAGGAGGATATTTCTCTTGAAAATCTTGCTAACTCTTTGAGACTTGAAGAGCAATATAGAGCAGAAAATGAAAAGGAGCAGAAAGTGCAAGTCTCGGATGTGCATGTATTGGAGGAAGGAAC